GCGGGCGGTTCTTTGCCTACCTTGACCCCCCAGGCATGGAGTGCTGAGGTCACCGTGAGGTCGTTCCACTACCCTGGAAGACGATGCCGACCCTGAAAACCACTGGTTGGTAGAGGAAAACACTCGGACCCAGGGGGCCAAACAGTCAGGGTCTATGTGAGTGGACTCGGGAGTGTAGACCGTTTATCAATTCAACAAATGTAAAGCCATTGTGGAAGGGGGTCTTATAAATCAAGCGTCTACATTGAGTCTACATGACTATAGCGAGGGCCCCCCAAGTCAAGGTTTTCTGGATCGGGTGATGAACACGGAAACCGTTTGCCTGGCTGCCTGGACAGCAAATCCAGGTCCACGTTTTTTCCCATCAAACCATCTGGGTAAATCCTGATTGAGCATCGCCTGCCTAATCAGGATCCCAGTTCAGACTCTCATCTCAACCTCTCTTCCCCAGTAGCTTTTTCTTCTGGGGAAGATCGATTTTCGTTTTCAATCAGCCAAGCCAAGGCCTCCATCGCGAAGAACACAGCCCACGCAGTGGCCGACGAGGCCAGGTTGCGTGGTGACAGACCACTAAAGCCCTCCATGGGACTGGTATATATGGAAGTTGATCTAAAGGGGCATGTAAGGAGTTCTACATGAAACGATCTTTCAGATGGTGTACTTACCCCAGACACTCCATGTATGCTATATATGCCTACATTGGGGTGGTTTTGGGGGTCAATGTAGGCATATATGGCATACATGGAGAGTCTGGGTACTCATGCAGGGCCTGGGTTTTGCGAAAGTGGATCACAGACGCGGTCTTCCAACTACTTGAAAGAACTAAGGTGCCACCCGTGGGTGTTCCTCCCGTGACTGGTGAAACGTGCCGACTCTTGGGACGTTCGCCATGCACACACGCTGGCTGCCCAGGAACACCGGTTCGCCATGAAAACCCGACGGCTGGGTTGTTTGTTTTTTTCCACTCAAATCCGACAGCTGGAAGGTTTGTTTCACCTCTATGTTCCACGGAAACGGCTCGGGGGTCAGAGGTGTTCTTCACAGACCTTGTTGAATCTGGCAAAGGAAGCAAGAGTTAAACATGAAACGGTGATGTTGGTGCTTCCCAAACTGTAGTAGCTGGGACTTTTGAGCATGACTGCAAATGATCGGCGTTGTTGCGGTCGGGCAGAGTGGTCCTGAGACATGTTTTGCCGACTCCTGGCGGTTCTGAGCGTGCACAGGGCGTTCGTCTCCACATGCTTACATGGGTTCGTAAAAGTCACCCAGCAGCGTTGCGAACGCCAAACGTTCAGCGAGTGACCAACTGACATTCCACCACAATGTCGCACTTCAGGGTCAAGGCCATCTACCAAACTCGGGGCAGGTTTCTGTAAGTTTCTAGCCCCAGCTGGCCTTCTTTGTGGTATTCCACGATTTTTTGTCGAATCGATTTGGAAGTGTGCCACGGTCTTGGACAAGAATTCCAGGACCATGGTCACGAAGTGGACAAGAACACATGTGACTGCGTACCTTTAGAATATAATCTCCACAGCCCATGCCGATTGTTTTGACATCACAGGCTTAGACTAGTTTTGAAGCGGGCATTGTCCTGATCCAAACATGACCAGCAAAGCCTACCCAGTCGTGGAGAACCTTTAACCTTTTTGGAGAACTGGTGTCCCCACTAGAGTCACTAGAGATGCACAGGCTGAACAAGGTTAACCGTTCTTTTCCAGGGAACCTGAAGGGGGTCAAGATTTACATCACGGCCAGCAAACTGCCACACCGACATCCCCAAATGGCCACATCAAGAGGCCCATCAGTTGCAGCAGATTCCTTGGCTTTGTCTAAGGTTGGTGATTTGAGTTGTTCTTTAAACATCGGTCCCCCGGTTGGACAGATCTTCGTTCCTTCCTCACCCAGACACGACCTATGGGACTGCCATATATGCCGATCAGTTGGGGTGGTTTGAGGGGTCAATGTAGGCATATATGGCATACATGGAGTGTCTGGGTCATGCCTCGTCGTTCTCACCAGGAGATTCTGGTGAATGTCGATGCCGACAACATCTGTGGCCCTGGCTTCATCGAAGACGTGACTCGCCGAATCTACATCTTGCGTGCAATTTGTTGACGGGCCTCCGTGTGCAGGGCCCAGCCGGAAAGATGAGGCAAGTATGTTTTTACATATCCCAGACTCTCCATGGGACTGCCATACTTCAGGCAGACAAAAGTTTACGCTTGTTAGCCTTCTTACAAAACACTCTGAGGTCAGCGGCGGATCGAATTAACAAGTCTAATTTTCGTGGCAGGTGTGGGACGGTCAATTATCACACTCTTTTAAATTTATAATAAAAGGCTTTCCGGGGTGACAAATGACCGCCCACACCTTCCCTTGTCTCATGGTGTAGGATTCTAGGGGGATAGGGTTGTCATGAATTTCAACATCAAGAAGCGCAACTTTCTTCTGGCCAGTGTATATGCCGCCCCATTGACCCCCCTGGCACCACCCCTGGCCTGATCGGCATATATAGCAGTCCCATAGGTCGTGTCTGGGATATATAATTATATACATGTGGCCGTTCCACCGGCACGCAGGAAAGAACTCCATGTTGTATTTTGGTAACCCCTTGAGACGACGTGCAGCACAAGGATCACTCGACTCAAGTCAGTGTTTTAGACATGTTTAATAAGCCATGAGTTTTGCAGTTCGAGGTGCTTCCATGTTGTTTTCAACAGGGCACCGCTGCCCCAAGCACAGGGTCAAATTTTCTCATCATTTTTTGGGGTAGAAACTTCCAGGAGGATCCCTTGAAGGCAAAGCTCAGCAATCGCATCAAAGCCTGGGGAATTTGTTCCTCGCTGAAAGGACAGGGGGCAATGATCGGCGCTGGTGGTACAAGAAGTGAATCAGATGAACAAGCCTGCCATTATGTAGACAAGAATCATAGCGTGTGGCGTTCTTTTCGGAGTTTGAACAAGAGCAAGGTGCCATAGGTTTCCGCCTGGGGGGGAGAGAGAGAGAGAGGGACTTTACACCGAAGGAAGAGTGTTTCTCTGAAGCCTGGAAATCTTTAAAAGGGCACTTTGAGACTCCGAAGCCCAGCACTTCGAGACTCCGAAGTTTCCCACAAACCTTTTGTTGAGTTTTGGTGTTTGTGTCCTTTTCAGGGGCGTCGGTATTGAATGGTCCTATTGGAGTCATCGGAGCGATGTTCAGCCGCAGTCCAGGTGCCGACGTCGCCACTGACGGTCCATGCCACTGTCGCGACCGCCCAGCCCGACGCCGCGGCTTTCTCCGGCCGAGATGCGAAGGCGGAAATGATGCGACCGGAGCGGTGGCTGGGAATAGAGACGAAGACGGTGGAATCGTGTGGAATCTATCTGTATTTTTCCATGTTTGTTGCTATACTAACTATATAGTTAGTGCTCCACACAAGGTTCTTCCGGCTTGCGCTTTGTTTGGAGCCCAGGTAACGAAGTGTAATTTAAGATCATTTGCCCTGGCCATGAAATGCATGAAAACCATTAGCGTCTCGCACAGGACCAGGAATAGAATTCAAGAACATGTTTTCCATGGATGCGATTGTATTTCGTGACTGTCCTAAAGCTCATGAAGCCGAAAGAGCATCTCCCAAGGACCGGGAATGGGATTTAAGGATTCAAGAACCAGGAATGGGAGTCAAAAGGTTCAATATATTTCACGGAGGCCCGTCGTGGCAATTCTCACCTTGGCTTGCATGGAGCCACCCCACGGGTGCCAGATGAAAACCGATTTGGGGCCAACATGTTTGGCACCATAGCGATTTGGGGTGGCCCGGAATGGGATTCAGCACGTCCGGGGCAACCTCAAGTCAGGATGGCTGACTTGACGAATTGGAGGTTGTTTGTTCGTTCCAAGGTTGTGGTCCTCCTAAGGAACAGAGCGCTTGTGGATCGGAAGGAGAGGGCGCTCCCATCGCGGTTTGGACTTTCCCTGGTGTTGGATGTTGACAGATACCTTCCTCCAACGAATATGGAAAGGTGTCTGGAAGGTTGGCAACGCCATGGTTTTGAAGGCCCCTGGGAGCAAGTTGGCAACGCCATACCAAGTGGGTGACACTCCTGCAGATTGACATGAGTCTTCGAGCATCAACACATTGGGGTTTATTCGAGTTCAGTCGTCTGGGGCCTCCGGGACGGATTTCTGTGAAAGTGTCCCGGAAGTTGACATGTAAGGACCAACCGATCACTTGCATCTTGGCTAGTGCCAAGTTTTGGGGGCTAGGTCGGTTGATGTTAGCAATCTAGGCTTTGGCCGTGTGATCGACAGGCCCTCAAGATCGTAGACCGAAGTTGTTTTCCTGTTTTTTGCCATGCTTGAGAAACGGTCGTTGAAATCAGAAAGCTTGTTTGACCTCAGATTATGTTTGGCATATGTTGGAGATGTGTTGGAGATTTTTCCGCTGGAAACATACACATCCTATGTTCTGTGACCTCGCCCACCAAACTGGCCCAAGTAGTTTTCTTGGGCCAGAGGCGGTTGGTGTTTGTCCGCGGGTGTGGTGGGGCGCTTTGGTCTGGAGGGGAGCACCTGTGGAATTGGTTTGCTTGGTCAGGTGCAGCCGGAAGAAAAAAGGAAGATGTCAAGGACTGGAAGCGGTGAAAGGAAGAGGAGCTACAGACAGAGGCTGAGTCCGTCGGACAAGCCGTTTGATTGAAGTCGGACAAGCGCTCGTTTAAGACGACCAGGCAATGTATATAAATTTTGGTAATGATTCTGATTGATTCTGTAGTTTGTAAATATGTTGCAAAGATCTACAATGAGAGGTAGAAGACTTCGGTCAATGGTTGACCAGATAGTTCACAGTGCAATGAGAGGTTTTGTTCACTGAGGAGGGTTGACTGCTTGGGCCCCCCTGGGCACGTCAACCAGCGCCAGAGTTGACCCGTCGGAAGGGGCTGGAATAGGTCAACCCCGGGCACAGCGGCATAACAGTTTTAGCAGAGTTTGCGAGATAGGGATGCAGTGAGGGTCCACTTTATTTAGGTTTCCCATGCTACCGCTGGTCACCGGAGATTATAAATAGGGTCACAGGCACAGGAGGAACCGCGGGAGTATGGCGTCGGACGAACTTCGTTCGTGCCCTCTCTGTCGGTGCAAGGTGAGCTGCTGTGGGATGGCCCCCGCGGGAGCGTCGTGCGAGGGGCCGCCGGGGTTCACCCTGTGAGGTCCTGCGTAGCGACGGCGGGGTCGTCCCGTGATGATGACGACCATGGTGATCGGCGGGTCAATGGTGACCTGACGAACTGAAGGGAAGTTTGGGATGTGGTTACGGAGTGATGCGATTTGAGGCAAGTAGTCCAGTACTTCTGAGGCATATGTTTTTCATATGTTTTTGATCGGGCCTTTGCTCCTGCTCAAGTTTAGCGAAGGCCAGCTTCTTTTGGCCTGCCTGGGAACAGGGTTGCCTGAGCCGTGACGGAATTTGGTTGATCCGTTCGGTGGATTGGCACACAGTGCATGCTATTGTGTTGCCAGTCCTGTGCATACGGTGCGCGACATGCCCAGTCCAGGTAGATGGATCCAGAGGGCCATCGGGCCGCACGGGGAAGCCAGAAACTCTTGATAGGCTTTCTCCCCTGCTCTGGCCAGCGCATAGGTGATTTGCGGCATCGAAGATATGCCTTGTCCAACCAGAGATCGTGGCTGGTGAATTGGGGCCATCTTCCAAGAGCTTGGCTTGGGAGTGGAGATTCAACTGCTCCACCGTGCTTGAAGCAGTGAAGGCGTGCAAAGCGCATAGTCGACACTGGGCACCAGAGCGGAAGGGATGCCAATCATGCCCTTGATGAGTTGGGTGATCCAAAATGATCTTGACCAGCTGCCTCTCCAAGAGAGGTTGCTTGAGATTTTTCTCCTTGTATTCTTGGGAGAACAAGTAGTGTTCCTTGTCAGTGAGGATGGTGTAGAGGCGATCGCCAGCGGAGAATCTCCTTAGCATCCTCTCTCTTGGCAGCAGCCAGAGTGTTTTTATGAAGTGTCTTCCTCATTTGATCCCCTTTGGTGGCGCCCTGCAAGAAGTTGGGATGGTAGAGGAGCTTGATGGTCTCGCAGTCTGAAAATGAACATGTTGGCCGCAAGATCAGGGAACTCATCCGCAGCCTTAACAATGTTCCAGGCTTTCCAGGACTTGACATCGCCCGCAAAGAGGTGGATCTGATTGGTCAAATGGCCCTGTGACGGCTCCATGGTGACGGGTGCGGTGAATAGAGGCGAAGACAGAGGTTGAAGGACCCGAACTAGACCATCCCATAGGTACACCAATAGGGTCCCATTTACGGTCACTTAACCTCTCTTGGATGATGCATGTTTGGCCGGTCTGAATTTCTTCAAGGACCTCCACGTCCGGCCATGTCCCTCCAAGGAACGAGTGGCACACATTGTTGAACGAGGCCACGCGCCCAATAGGCCACAGGATCAGTGCCTGCCTGAAGCCGCTGCTGCCACTCAGTGGGAATGCACTTGCCCTTCTGCTGCCAATAGCTGCACTCCCATACCAGATGTTGAGGTGCGAGGTCGACATTGCATCGAGGGCAGATGGCACCTGTTGTGGTCAGAGTGCCTTGATGGAAAGCCTGAAGGCTTGGCTTGCACTTCATTCGTCTTAAGGAGATTGGACATAGTCCAGCGGCATCTCAATGTCATAGCATCCCTGGTGGCGAGTGATGCGTCAAAGTTCTTGAAGGCGCCCAAACTCCCATACCAAAGCTTCATCTTGAGAAAGGGCCAGTCTGATCCATAGATCCTCGATGTTCAAACAGGTCCAGTGATTCCAGCAAAGCCCCGTCTGTTCCAGTCGTCTCGATGTTCCGAAGTCAAGGTCCAGGTGCTTGACAGAGGGGTAGACAACAGAGAAAAGCAAACAAAAAACAAGCAAACCAAAAAAACTGAAACCACACTTCTCAAAAAAAAAATGTGTCTTTTGTGTTTGTTTAACACTCCGTAAAAATGCTTTTAGCACGGTCAAAGTATAATTATATATAGTAATTATGTATATATATATATGTTTATAACGTAAAAACAGCATGTATTTACACAAACCCCTTTGAATTGAATGATATACTGTAACTTAAACGCGCGCAAAAGTGTTTGCGCTGTTTGGCTTCAAAAAAAACGCATCCTGCAAACACGTCTATGCTTTTCATTTTTCAACCACAGGTTAGAGAAACCCAGTCTTTCAGGGTTCCATTCGATCCGGGTTCACGATCCTGTTCGGGAGTGTATATTTTATCAAATGAGAAAAAGAACAAAGGGTTTAGCCCAGTGCACTAGAAATCTTGAAGAAGAAAGCCTCTACATTAATGTTTGTCCTTTTCGCCCTGGATTTTATGTCTATGCTTGTTTCATTGTTCGATGATAATACCCTCTCAAACATTGTTTGCACTTTGCTCTGGTATTACGTTTTGGACTCTTATTTGTGAACTCTCTTCTTGAAAACTCTTTGTTTTTTTGATTGTATGCCTATTGAATTCCTTTTGGTTCTTGTTGATTTACACTAGAGATCTTTATTAATAGTATTTTACCCCTACAATAAAGTTTGCCCCGTTTTGCTTTTATAAACACATCACCTACAATCACATGTACGTTTTTCATTTTTCTTTGTCTTTGTGTGAGTTCCCCTTTTGAACAGCTCCTTGTTGATATTGATTACCTATTAAATTCCTGTTGTTTAGCTTACTGGTATCCTCTTAAATACTTCTGAATTCCTTTGATGTCATTTTTAGCTCTTTAGTTGATGTTTCCTTTAATCTTGTCAAAGTATTGGAAACAATCTATCCCACACAGGGGTAGCCCAGTATAGCAAAAGCAGCAGGAAAAGGTAGATAAGTATGAAAAGTGGAGGAGCTGAACTGCAGGAATGCAGGAAAAGGTAGAAGATTTTAAAAGCATTACAAAGTAGATCATGGGGGCTGAGTATATATACACACACACACGCATACATGCGCCATGTGTGTGCTTTGTCATACTGATGTCCTTGCCAGTGCCAGGGTTCAGTATGTTCTCAGGTGGGTGACTCCATGACTCAGGTGACGCCAAGTGCGGTGGAGACGCTACAAAAGCAGGATGGAAAGGTGCTGAGTGTCAAGAAGCAGATGCACTTCTTCGATGGCGCACGTGCTCACGAGGTGAGAAGCCGGTGGTTCTACCCGAAGAATGGTTTTGTGCCTTGGTTGTCAACAGTGTCTGGCACATGTCACATATTTGCAAAACAACAGGGTGAGTACAACTTGGAATCCACAACACACCAAGCATGGGCCTTCGACCATCTTCAAAGCTCCGCGACCTTGTTTCTTCGGCCGCCTGAAACGTCGCGTGTTTGGAACCGGGTGGGTCAGTGGAACGAGTCGAGTGGAACGGCGGGTGGAGCGGACGCAGCCCATTCGTCTTCACCTTTTCGGCCGATTTGCTGCGCCTGGGCAAATCGGGAGAAACCACGACGACAAACAAAGAACCGTGAAAAGATCCTGCGGCGGGGTGCATAATTGCTTTATAATACACTATAGCATCATAATTAGGCCAGACTCGGAGTTTTGGCGCCCGAACTGAGTGTCCAATGCGACGAACGTGAACTTGTGAAACGCACGGTTTCAACACTTCGATGCCATGGTCACGTGGTACAGGCGACGAGGTACAAGTCTATTGGCTGCGAGGTTCCGAAGTGCCATGTTTCAAGCGGTTTCTGCCAAAGGGAACCTTCGCATAAAAGGTTTCACTTCCTTCTCAGCTAAGTGTGTGGTGGAACAGATGTTTATTTGTCACTTTGCGGCCGAAGCAGCTGGTATTTGAGACTCCGTATAGTGCGTGTGGATTTCCGGGAAATACGGGGGTTCCACAACGGGAGTTCCACAATATATTATATATATAACCATGCGTGAAAAAACGAACGACCTTGGTTCTTTGTGTGTAGTTGGAAGACCACAGTCAATTGGATGTCCACACCTGGGTGATTTCCAACCAAGACTTCATGCTCGTTCTTGCTCACATGCCCGAGTAACGAACAATACTCTCTCCAGTTCATGTTCACAACGAGGACTTGGACAGACAATTGAAATTGTCATGTTGACATCCTAACCCACAAACACACATTAATGTTTGCAAATTTATGTGCTAAAACATATAGAAGACCCTTGCCTTTGGTCAGACTTGCCGCAAACTGGAATGCCAGGGTTCATCCATAAATTTCACCTTCAAAACATATACATTATAACTATTTTCTCATTGATTGCGTATTCTTCCTGGATGCTGCCCCTTTGTCTAGCACAAATGCGGATAGTTTTCACAGTAGGTTCTTGTAGTCTTTGGTGTCCAGTGATCAAGATTATACTTAGCCCAACAACTCATATTTGTCAATCCGGGTCTTTGCAGGACAAACCACTCCGCTACCGGATCTGTTTTCTTCAAGCTTCACCTCTGACTCGTTTTTTGGGATCGAACACTCATGTCATTTTTGCAGTTCTTTCTTTGTTCTTTGTTTGGTCGAAGGACCTTAACAGGTTAGGTCCAAACAGGTCCACGTTGCCGCGTTCGCTTTGCGGCAGGAGATTCGACGCCCGGCTGTCTCCATCTATCTCCCAAGAATTCCTGGGCCCCAACTTCCCAACATTCATGCAGGTTCAGAACACAAAGCCTATATTTTGAGCTTTGACCCGAGGGGCCGTTGATTCATCCAAGAGTCTGACATCACCGAGCTCCAAGCTTCACCGCCCGACCTGAGGTGAACCGGAGGGCGGAGCTCCCCGAACGGCGCGTCTCCTTGGCGCAAGCAGACCTGTCGACCTGTCCCGTCAGCCAGGCGACGGGTCTGCGGTGGGGTGTAGAAGGATGGATCTCGATGGGCCACACCTGGGACTGCCAGTCCGGACTGCCGAGAAACGGCCAGGGGTGGTGGTTTGAGGGGTCTGTCTGGGGCGGCATATGTGGCAGTCCCATGGAGTGTCTGGGGTATGGTGGATCCAAGACCTACCTTTGGGACAATCAACTAGAAAACCTTGAGCTACTGTTTGTCCATCACTCTGATGTTCTTCTTTTTAAAGATCAGGTTCCTGGGTGAGCAAGGCAGGCAGGTGCAGAGCCATTGGAGACGCTGCGTCGTAGTTCAAGCTTGTGCCTGTTGGCAAGAAAGAATGCAAGAGGTGACCAAATGGGCACACAAAAACTGTCCTCAACGTTGTCAAGCTGCTTGACTTGAGCAATCCTTGCGAAAGTGGAGCCCCTGACCTATCCTTGCCCATAGGCAGAGCTTGCAAGCCGCAAAAGCGTGACTTGGCTGTGGTATCCTGCGAAATGATCTGTTTGGGCAGTGACAGCTGTACCCTCCAAAAGCTGTAGCCTCTGGCGGTGGTTAGCCACAAGAGCTCCACGGTGGTGAAACTCCATCGGCGCCTCAAAGCAGCTGCGGGCTGCTCCGGGGCGAGCGCGCTGGCTACGGCCTGCATGCCGGAAAAAGCATGCGGAAAAAAGGTTGGATGATGCTGTGTGACATTTGCAGTGACAAGGCTGTTTTAGGGAAGCTAAGTGGACAGCGCACGGTGGGCATGGCATGGCATGGCTAGGTGATCTTGGAATCTGGCCTAAATTCCATCATGTTCCAGCAACTTCCAGCCTCAAGCATCTTGATGTTGATGGATGTTCATGGACGATGCCCACAAATTACCTGTAGGGTTGAGTGTTCAGGGGCAAGAGAAGAAGAAAGCTTGAGAAAAGGGCGCACGGTCTGGAAGAGCAAGTGGGAATGGGCAAGATGCGCTTGAGCAGCTGATTCAACAGTCATCCAAAAACAACCCACGAATCGCCGTTTCGAATAACAACATGTTGTTTGTCTCAAAGAGCAAAGAAAAGTACACTCAGGAAGTTGCAGGTATATTATATACCTGGCGCTACTATTCTGATACTTTTGCAGGGTCTTCAACATCACTTTGTTTTAAGTGCCTCTGGTATTTGGCCATGCAGCTCAACGCCCCTTTCTTTTGGCTCCATTCCTCCCCTCATCCTGACGCTCCCCTACCCGTCCACCAGACCTACATGGGCTCGTTCGGACCTACATGGGCTCATTCGGACTCGTGGGTCGGGTCGGTCACCATCGACCTGGGTCAACTGGACCGCTGACCGGGACGACTGGACGACATGGACGATCACTGCTGCGGTCGCTGAGGGTTCATGAACTGTGTGGACCCGATGGAAGGCCCTTGGATTCACAGAGCCTCTGGCGCTGACGCCCAAAAGTGCGTGGTGGGAGCCGACAGCGTGGTGGGAAGGGGACGGTTGGCTGGGAAAGCGGTGCTTTCGCCGATTGAGGAGGATGAAACCCGCTTTTCAGAGCAGATGAAGAGCCGTGTAAGTACATGAAGCGAACGTGAGAAGGAGTGGGATGTTTTCGGTGTGGGTGGCGAGTGGGATCCGTGACCGACGTGCAGACCGACGAGACCTCTTTGCTGGCCCGGACGCGGGGAGACAGGCCCATGCTGTTAAGTGGGTCGCGTGGTTAGTGCTATTTTTTCTGGATTGGTTTGCTGGCGATGGTGAGACGTGGAACCGAATCTATGACCTGAATGATCCAGTAAACTGAAAGGAACAAGGGCATGGATTCGGATGCCACAGTAGGATGTGTTGTTTGTACATGTTTGCACAGAGTTTTGTTGGGACCCGAATAGACTCCTTTGTACCCCAGTGCCGAGTCCGAAAACCCACCCAGTCCAGAAGTCCAGACTGAGTTGTTAGTTGGAAATGTTGTCATGTCTTGGTGTGTATTTTAGACTGGGAGACCCCCGATCGCCCCAATGGGAATTTCTCTTCCAGGAGGTCGAGCCGGGAGGTCTCCATATCCTTGTTTTTGTTTGAATGAAGTTTCCCCGTCTTCGCACCGAAATGAAACAATCAAGCAGGACTTGGAAGATCCGTCCCACGTGTTTTTTCTGACGAGGATTCTAAGCTGTCCTGCTGTCCGAGGGTGAATCTGTTTGATGTTCCCAAACTCACTGGGTGAATCTGTTTGATGGCGATCCGGGTTTAAGCAAATCCAAGATGACCCTTCAAAAACATTCAAAAACAAGAAGCTACCAGGACCTTCAAAGTGACCTCCGTCAAGTCTCTAACTTGTTGCAAACCTTTTGAAGTGTTTAGGCATGGTTGAAGTTAGTTCACCTGTTGGTATTGGATTATAGCTGAACAGTTCTGCACTGGTCACAGCTTCAGAATGGTGCTTGCATGCGTTTTAGGCGGATTTCCCAGATACTCCGCAGAAGTATGGCTTTTCAAAAGCACTACCTGACGTCCAACTGTCCAACCCAACAGCAAACTTGGCTGTTGGTTACGTGGGAACAACCACCACGTTGAGGTCGTATGCTTTTGGCGAGCCTTTTTCATCCAGTTGACCCAGACCTGTCCATCCAAGTGACCGGTCCATCAGCTGAACCTAGCGCCGGTACAAGTGAACCTAGCGCCGGCGCAGATGACCTCAAGAGTTTGGCTCATAGGATTGGTGTTTCGAGTAAATGGGCGCCACGTTTCCGAAGTTTCGGGGGATGCAGATGAAGTTCATTGCCTTCGGGTTTCCGAATCACCAAAATCCAAGAGGATCGACAGTTGAAACTAAATATATATAATATATAACTATATAGGCATTGAAGGAATGAATACAAAATTTGGCATGTGCTAAACATCTCAATTTGAGGGCAGATTTGATTGCGAGCCTCCCAATGTCTCCCTACTAAGATCGCACACGGGGATTCCCAGAAATGGACACCGTCAACCTAAACCACCCAATGCCAAGTAAGCCTTGGGTGTAAAACAATGACTTGGTCCCTGCATGTTGCTTTTACATGTCAAGAAACATGTGTTATTCTTGGGTGGATGGTCAGGAGCAGATCAAGTGTATGTACACAATCGAAGATCATTTATAAGGCTGCGTGTCAGGGCACCAGGATGCCTTGGTTTTTCCCACCTGGGGAATGAACAGGACTACTTGGGAGGTCAACCGGGCCCCTGGTGACCCGGGGCTCCGGGTGCGACCCACAGCCACAACCCTTCAATCCATGCTCAAATGAGTCGAGAGACAGGTCTTGACAGGGCACCGTCCATTTCTCAGACTGGCGAGTCCGTCACAGATTGCCCAAAAAGTGTGTTCTTCTTGTTTAAACAAACAAGAAGATGAAGACTGAGACAGACTAAACTGACAAAACGACTAAACTAAACCACCAAAAGAACAAACTCCACAGCCTCAGATGGAGATCTTCGCAGCCTCCAGCCTCCAGACTCGCTCCGGAAGTGTTGTTTCTCCACCAAGAGAGTCCACCGTGGCCCCACCGTCCGCGACCGAAGCCGATGGAATCCATACAGGCCGTTCCGCACGCGTTGCTGCGAGGGTGAAGACGGGTGATGACACGAAACCTGGAATCCATGGAGGTGGAAATGTCTATAGGGCTCCTGCCACTGTGGAAAGTTGGACTTGCCATGAAATGCCCATGACTTGCCATGAATTCCGCCTCTTGACCAGTTTGCTGGTTGTGGTATGGGAAGGCTAGAGATTGAGTCATCGCAGACTGGTCTGAAGGTGAGCTTTGTTCGGATGCATTACCAACCAACCCATATAGGGTTAGGATGTATACATCCTGACCTCGGATGATCTAACGGAGGTTTTGGGACGTACGAAAGCAGAGAATTGTCGAACTGGAGCTAAAAGGACATCCTTAGGATCCTGCTGGACCCTTGGAGCAAGTGTTTGGAGTTGGGTGATGGTGGGAACCCTCGCCATAACCCTTGCCATTCAACAAGAACCTTCTGTGGAACTACGCCCAAAAACAATGCCTTCGGGTCTGCCGTGTTCAGCTGATTTCAGCTGATGCTGGTGAGCTTGATCATATCCATCAGCTTCGGAACTGTGGCGCCATGCCATGTGCATTTGGGTTTGGGTGTGACGTGTAGGTTTTGACAGGGAGACCTCCAATGGTCCACATGTGCCAGCCGGGCTCGCATGGAGCAGCTGAGAATGACACCTGCGATGGAGCAGCAAGTCGAGTAAGGGGACACTAGGCGTGATCTGATCTGCGCATTCCGTGAATGGAAGGTATTGAATGGCCCCACGCTTTGCCAACCGGAACCAAATCTTGATGGAGAGTCTCTGGACATTGGTACAGTGGTATTTGCGACTGTTTGTGTGGATGGGCTGGTCCTTTAGTATCATGAGCTCCTGCAGAAATTGCTGCCACTACCAGTGCTTGGAGGCCTGGCCTTTCATAAACTTACATCATCAGATGATTGAGGTTTCTTTCACTACTTAGTGGTCTAGTCATGTCTAGTCTGATTTGAAGAAGAACGAACCCGTCAGCTGTCTGCCCTAAGCGAGCCATAAAATCCAGTCGAGTGGCTAGGTGACCTGGTCGGATCTTCATGTCTTTTAAACAACTTTCAGCCATCCAGAACTCCGGCGGCAGATGGGAAACACACGAATCAAGTCGATGAAGGACCCACCAGGGACCATGCAGTACGACCACCAGAGTTTCTGTTTCCCACGCCAAGTCATAGCTGTCATGAATGCCCAACAAGAAGAAGCTGCCACTGACCTTTGACAAGTTTGACTATACCTCCCTAGGGCTCCAAGTAACTCCTCAGAAGATACTTGGACCCTCCAACCTCCCCAACACTTTCTTAGAAGGTACTACTGGAGCCCTAGCCTCAGAGGCATGATGTGGCATGTGTGTGTGTGTTAATAGGGAGACTCCTTGGCCAGACCTTCTTGGAAGGAGGAACATCTGTCAGTCTACTGTCGGTTGGGTCTCACCATCCCACTCGCTTGGTCTTCAGGTCGGATGGCAGCTCCAGGCGCAGCTTCGACATTGAGAGACACTGCTTGGTCCACATAACTTGAATATCCGACTATAGCTGGTGCTCCAGAGGGGACTAAGGAGCCCCGGGTATCCCTAGTTTTGTTGGCAGGGGGGAACAGCTGTGATACCCAACAGAGTTTGTGGATACGAGCATAGATTAGCTACAGCTACAATGTGCATCCGACCTTTGTGGAGTATTTTGCGTTTGTGGATGGCAGAGTTTTTGCACCTTATGTATCCAAATCAAGATCGTGAATGGAATGAGCCAAGTGTTTAAAGGGACCCCAAGCAATTTTATACCACAGCTGCGGTGTCATTTCTTGTTGCCATGTTTCAGAATCCTTGTGGATTCTTCTATCTCGCCTGAAGCTGAAGTCCCAGTCCTACCTGGTACCTTCTCCGTGGGTATGTCACACCACCAAGATCCGATAGTCTACCTTTGTGTGTACCATCCCCACCCATCCCCTATCAAGTCAGTGGATACATTCCAACTCACTAACATGGAGGTGGAAAACCATCCATTTGTAGACGAAAGTAGTGTTCCCATGGACTGTTTTCCAGTTCCATGTTAGTGACTCGGACAACCTTTTATTTACTGTAAATTTTGTTTTAATGGAGTAGTTCCCCTGCTAAATACCAGAAGCAATGAACAAAATGGGGTTTTTCCACGGACAACAGCTCAGGAGTCAGATCCAACTCACCAT